TTCGAACTAACAAATTCGATAAAAGAGCCGATGGCCCTTTCACTATTGTAGGATTCACCGAAAATAATAACGTGATCCTGGAAAACGAAAATGGCACGAGGTTTGCCAAACATAGGGACAAAGTCATGGTTGCCCATATATAATTCCAATCACTAATATTCAATATTGTTCTAGAATGCGGATGATCAACCAATTCACGATGATAAGAGTTGCTGTCCTAACCTTGCTATGTTTCCTTCCGATCACGACAGAAGCCCGGCAGGAAGCCCTAAGCCAATCTGATACGACTACAGGAAGTGACCAGTACCAGATCACCCCTTTGCAATCCAGCAGCAGTATGTACTTCGAGTACATGGGGGAAATCAGGAGATCGGTTAGCAATTGGAGAATTGCCGTATTCCTGGACGTCGGAAAGCAGTGCCGATTTTTCGACGATCTAAAACAGCGTCTAAAGAGGCTAGGAGCACAGTGTGGACCTGAAGAAGAATGGTGTTTGGATTTAATGGAATCATACCAATGGGAAGACCGATGGGAAATGGCCTCTGAACTCCAAAAACAATTCCGAGTCCAAATCGAAGAATTAGAGAATACCAAAAGAACCTTACCTAAGAGAATGACCTCACAACTACGAGCAAGACGGGCTGTTCCTCTACTCGGCTTCCTGGGAAAAATTGCAGGACCAATCATTGGCGTAATGACATACAATGACGGAGAGAGATATGATGCAGCCATTCAAAACTTTAACGAAGCCCAAGCTAACCTATCACACCTCGTCGGAAAGCAGACTCATGTTGTCAGGTCACAGCTTGATTCATTGCATGCTCAAGTACAGCGACACGGTTCCCTTCTGCAGCAACTGCAGGAACAACTCCAAATGCTGTCCACCAAGGATCTCGCCAAGATGAAGGCTGAGATGGAGAGAAGAAACCTGACCTACGCAATAGCCAGAGCCCTGAGGCTGGGACTCGATCATAGTATCCAGGCCACCTCCACCATGCTGGAAGCATTTCACGAGGCAAGAAAGGGACACTTGCATCCGGGCCTCATCACTTCTGCCCAATTGGAACCGATTCTCAGAGAAGTTCAGGACAATCTCAAGGACGTAAAATTCCCTCTAACAGGACCTAGGATCAGCATAGATGAACTGATGCATATTTCGACGGTTACAATCCATTGCGAGAACCATCAACTAAATGTGCTCATCGATATTCCTCTCCTAGAAAAATACAACTATCAGGTCTTTAAGCTTCACTCGCTCCCCACCACCCAAGAGATGCTCGAGAATGGTACTGGAAGAGCGTATGTAAAGTCAAAATATGAATACCTGATCATCGACGAGGATCAACGAACATACCTTCCGTTGAAGGAGCAAGACTGGGACCAGTGTAAATCAACGACGTCATTTCATGCATGTCTGCAAGGTGCTCCCATCTATGATTTTCAACAACGAGCATCCTGTGAAGCTTCACTCTTAATTAAACCAACTATGGAAGCCCTAAAATTTTGTGAAGTAAGAATTACCACACGGTGGTCTTCAAGCACTTTTAAGTTTACCTAAAATGAGTCAAAATTGTGCTAACGCAGTTTTATCTGTAATCGTCCCAAGATTCCAAATTTTCATTTCCGAAAATCGTAGCTGATTCTTTTTTCGAAAAAAAACATATATATGGGCAATTCCACGTGAGATTTAAGTCCACCTCTTAAAATCGGCCAAAAAATATTTCTTTTTCTATTCTGTATCGAAACAAATTAGATTCGTATTTTTTTATTTTTGTTTAATTGTACAAATTTTCGAGTTATAAATTTTCGAAATTTTTGACTTGTAATTGAAGACCTATATTCAGTAACTTATAATTCCGAAAATATTGAGTTTAGGAAAAAGTTGTTAAAGAATGAAAGTTTTAGTTTTCTTTCGAGTTTTAAGAAATGTAAACAAAAAATTTTTTTTATAAACAAATTAATTTTTTTTAACTTTGGGCCGGATTTAAAAAATTTTTTTTTAAATTTATTTATACCTTATAATATAGAGGAAGTTTCCAAAAAGTACCGAAATGGGCCTGATGTGTTAAATGAGTTTTAAAACATTTTCAAAAATCACTTGCAAGCATCACATGGGATATTTTTACAATTAACTTTTTAGAACTGTCTGCAGCGTATAAATTTTAATCTATTTGTGTTCTTTGTTTTAAGTTAAAGGGTCTACGCTGTAGCAGTTTTAAAAAGTTAATTGTAAAAAAATCCCACTGTCGACTAAAATCTCACGTGGAATTTCCCATAGGGTAATGTCACCTTGAGTAGACCGCCTGAGCTTTTAAGTTATCTGACAGCGAAAATGTGAAATAAATAGTGCGAATAGCAGCACCGCACCTAGAAACCGTAAGAAATTAAGTTCCGCGATAATCATATACGTTACCGTTTGATGTAACGCATTTTTGAGAACACAAACCAAAAAAGAAGTCGCTCTTTCAATGAGTAAAGTGATTTAGAAGTGTAAAAGTAGTGTAAAATTTAAGTTTTAAAAGGTAACTTATTTTTTTCCTACTACTTTGGACATTGAAATTGATTGTCTTAGTTTAATTTAGTGATAATTTTGACTCAAAAAAAATTGTGGTGGCTGCCATAAAAAGTTGTTTGTCACCATGAGTGGACCACAGTTTATAACCATGAGTGGACTGCCTGCTTTTTCCATTTTTAATGTCAGTTTAACATTTCTTTAGATATAAATTGACAATAAATTAGTTTGAAACTATGATGACATTGCTCTATATATGTTTTTTTGAAAAAAGAATCAGCTACGATTTTCGGAAATGAAAATTTGGAATCTTGGGACGATTACAGATAAAACTGCGTTAGCACAATTTTGACTCATTTTAGGTAAACCTAAAAGTGCTTAAAGACCACCGTGACCAGTAAACAGGAGTCCTACTGGAAACCGCTGAATACCATTGGCGGTTGGATCTACTCCTTCGCAGCCCCCGAGACCATAACAATTGGTTGTCATTCCCTAAGCCCAGCCAAGATCGAGCTAAGGGATGTTGGAATCATAAAACTAGGACCCGGGTGCTCCTTAAAAACCAAGGACACTATTATCCCAGCTACAACGTCACAAGCTGGGAAATCCGAGTTTATTTTTGAATCAGAACTACATCTAAACCTAACCATACTATCGCCATTATTAGCGAAATACGGTCACCTGTTAGAAGGAACAGCGCTTCCTGTTGACTTCGGTTCCGGAATAGAATCCAAATTCTCCACCTTCGAAGCCAATTCCAAGACTCTAGATGATTTAGAACAACAACTACAAGAGCTGTCCTTTCAACGTCACCTCAGAGGAGAACATCACATATTGATGTATGGATCATATGGAGGATTGATACTGTTGTTCATGATTTTCACACTGTATGTTTGTCGCATACCATGCAAATCAGGAATAACCAACCTCACCCGGAAATGCCGCGTTAAAGCAAAAAGTAAGAATTTTAAACTACCAACGTCGACACAAGAAAAATCCAGCCCCGCAGTGCACCAGAAAAAAGGAGACGAGCCAGCATACACAGAGATCGCCGCATCTTCAGCCAGACCTACTTCCGTCCAAGGGGAGTTAGAAGCAAAAACGAAAGAAGCATTGGCCTCAGGTAGCTCAATCGACCAAACAAAGAAAAAGTCTGCAACATTTGAAGAAACTCAGCAACGGAAGATCAGATGACTAATTTAAGGATCAGAATCTTGGACCTTTCAATTTCCAACCGAAGACAACGCCGAAAGAAAAAGAAATTTTTTACGACCACCAAACGTTTTCAACACCAAAGAAACGTCATTCAAAAGGGACAACCCTGAAGATCATCAGGAGAAAGGTGCCACTCATATGAAACGCAACGGGCAAGTAGAGTCTCGATTTTCTTAACAATTATTAAAAAAAAATAATAATATTCTTTATATTATGATTATCATATTCATTCATTAAGTTTCAAAACTATCAAGCTTTCGTTTACCTTAGTTAAATTTTACGTAAAAAGAAATTTTTCTTTGTTATCAATATTAAACAAAACAAAAAAAACATTTTAAGGAATTTTTTTGTCAAAATTAGGCACTAGCCATTAATATTAGACTACTAAAATTAGTAATTGTTTAGCAAATAAATATAAGGTATCTAAAGGATAGAAGAAATCTGTAATTTGTGATGAGAAGTGTCGGTGATGTCAGTACCGTCGGGACGTGTTCGGCTTAATCCTTTTTTAACAAAAAGAGAAGAATTTTCATGAGGGAAGCTTACACGGACTTACCGACTATGCAGCCGTTTGGGCCGCCCTCAAAATCGCCAAACTATCCTTTCTACCATATAGTCAACAGTGGTGAATGTGTGTACCTTACAATATACAAGCATTCACCCATGAGCTATGGGAGTTTTGGGTCAGCACCTAACCGGCGGCGGCTCTCACAATACAGCTACTAGCGTTTTCGCACTTCTAAAACAACTGTGCGTATTAATTATAAAGTGAGGGAATCATTGTGGTTGACCCCGGACCTAGGATCAACATATTACACAAATCCAATACCTAATGCCGAATTGTAGAGATTAGACATGTTATAATTATACCATTTCTACTTACGTGCTCAATCCACGATGTGCCCGAATGTATCTCAGACCAGGCGACTATTTCTCATTGGGAATTACTAATGCAGTAATGATTGCAATAATAATAATAATAGTTGAATTTTGGAGAAGAATTTTGCTAACTCTAATAATAATAAGAAATTTCTAAAAAGAAATATTTTTTTTTTGAAAATAACTATTGCAGTCTATTAACTATACGCAGCCTATTTTCACCCACCTACGCCTACACCTTCCTACCATTTAAGGTAAAGTAAAAGGGAAAATTAAAAAAAAACAGGAAAGAACAGTCCGATGTAAGTTATTGAATTTATTATTAAAGTAAAATATATCACAAATACTTTCATAACATTTAACACAATCAATGTAGAGTAGCTAAACGTACTATAAAATGTGATTAGTTCATAAAATCTTTTAATGAAAATTATTAAAGAAAGCTATGACTAACTAAAAAGGGGAAGAAAATAATTCAAAGGAAAATTAAAAAAAAAGTAATATAATAAAAATCTTTCAATTGTCTTTTTGAAAATAACTCTTGGAATGTCAAGGTAGTTCCCTCTACCCAGACTATTCACGTCCGCCTTTTGTCCACTCCCCTTCTCGGAGTAGACCTTCTGGGCCAACGTTGCACCACTCCTCCTCTGGCTCGATGTTATAAGACTACACAAAAAATGAATGACTTACACTTAATGCGATTCCATTCCTGCGCGACTCGTTTTTAATCAGGCAAACTTACCAGCACCCATCGACTGCCTCCTACGGGCGTTCCCTCGCGACTCCAGTAGAAGCTCTGCAGAAACGTCAACCGCATGATCCTGTTCAGTGACTGAAATCCCACGGAGGGAGGAACCGCCGGAAGGGCCCGTTTGGAACTATAAAAAAAAAATTTTTTTACAGGAACGCATTTAGAGATAAAAAAAAATTTTTTTTAATAAAATTTATACTCACCACACGAGATTAAAGCCGTCTCCATACCATTTTCCCTGCAGAAGCTTAGTGGAATCAAAGCCCTCGGTTAGTTCAGAAGGACCAACGTAATTACGCTAAAAAAAAAGGGTAATAATACATATTACCTTAAGAATATATATATATAAAAAAAAAATTTTTTTCTCATTTCTTCTTGCTTACCATCGCCCAAAACCCGCGGCATAAATATTGTTGCTGGGGTTCATCCCAGCGATATTCTTGGTACCAGCGTGTGCGAGAATATAGCTTTGGATGACTATCTCGCACCAGCTGGATGTCGTGATGCCAACACTCATTTTCGTTCATCCTACGGATGGCCGGTCTCCAAGGCCCAAATTTGATTAGGAAACTAAAAATATATATATATATATATATATATATATATGGGACATTCCACGTCAACACGGACAGAGCTCTAAACAAAAATTGCTTTGATGGATTTAAACGTTCTAGGGCTTAAAAGATTTCTACGTTCATGTACTTTAAGATGCCGATGGGCGTTTTTTGCAAAATTCCATTTCCGATGCCAATAGAACTGTCAAAAGTCAAAAGGTCCAAAAATCTCAAAATACTTTTATGAATTAAAAGCAAAAAACGAGGTAAATTATTCTGTAACTCATTCTTTATCAGTTTTTAGGGTTCCCCAATATAAATCTAAAGTTTTTTTTTTAAAAATCCAAAATGGCGAATTCAATATGGCGGACAAAATTCAAATTTGATCAGATTCGATTAAAACTTGTTACTCGGGGGTTTTTAGGGTCGCTGATTACGAATCTGAAGTCACTTTTTAAAAATTCAAAATGGCGGATCCAATATGGCGAAAAAAAATTTTCAAATTTGATACGATTCCCTTAAAACGTGTTACTCGGGGGCTTTTGGGGTCGCAGATTATGAATATGAAGTTACTTTGTAGAAATTCAAAATGGCGGATAAAATTTTTTAATTTGATCAGATTTAATTAAAAAGTGTTCCTCGGTGGTTTTTAGCGTTTCTGATTATGAATTTGAAGTCTCAAACACAAAGTAACTTCATATTCATAATCTGCGACCCCAAAAGCCCCCGAGTAACACGTTTTAAGGAAATCGGATCAAATTTAAAAAAATTTTCCGCCATATTGGATCCGTTATTTTGAATTTTTAAAAAGTGACTTCAGATTCCTAATCAGCGACCCTAAAAACCCCCGAGTAACAAGTTTTAATCGAATCTGATCAAATTTGAATTTTGTCCGCCATATTGAATTCGCCATTTTGGATTTTAAAAAAAAACTTTAGATTTATATTCGGGAACCCTAAAAACTGATAAAGAATGAGTTACAGAATAATTTACCTCGTTTTTTGCTTTTAATTCATAAAAGTATTTTGAGATTTTTGGACCTTTTGACTTTTGACAGTTCTATTGGCATCGGAAATGGAATTTTGCAAAAAACGCCCATCGGCATCTTAAAGTACATGAACGTAGAAATCTTTTAAGCCCTAGAACGTTTAAATCCATCAAAGCAATTTTTGTTTAGAGCTCTGTCTGTGTTGACGTGGAATGTCCCATATATATATATATATATTGCGAATACGGGTTAATATGGTTAAATTATTGCTTTCTTTTCTCTCTGATTCTGAATTGGTAGAGAACCACTAGTTCAAGTAGTCATTACGTAATTACTAAATTGAATTGGTAAAAGGATAAATGAAAAAGGTGCAGGTTTGCGCATATTTAGAAGCCATTAGTTCTTGCTAAGTGGATTAGTAAAGTTTTTGTTCTTAGAAATTTTAAACAATATTTAGAATTAAGTATTTTTAAAGACACATTATTAATTTACACAAAGAAAATAGAGAATAAATAGATAAAATTAAATATTAAACGAAAATTTAGTTCATTTTAAAATAGATTAAAATTATCACAGTTACACACAGACAATGAGACAACACTATCAAAATTGTATTATTAGCACTTCCAGAAGTTTTTTTTAGAAATAAAAATTTCTCTAAATATCATCAAAATCTAAACGATCTTAGCAGATTTATCACAAGAATTCTTTTCTAGCACTTAACACTTACAAAAAGTATTCAAAATTATACAAGTCACTTGATATACTGTGTACACCACGCTTAGTAATTACCCAAAGTGCACACGGGAAGCGCTATCTTCTGCGTCACATAGCCACTTTACTGATTGGATTAGTAGGAGCTACTTATTGAAATGGTGAAAATTCTTACTAATTTGAATTAATTATAGGCATTGCATAAGAGTTCTACTGATTCATTGGTGGAATTTGATAATTCTACTAATTCATTAGTAGAATGTTAACCTACTAATTGAAAAGGTAGAATTTCTGCTGGTTCGGATTTGGAGAGTTGATATCATTAAATATATTAAATTTCAAAAAAAAAGGAACACCCATTTTTGTATTCAATTCGTTAATTTAATATTAAAACAGCATTCTGGGTTTTCCTTGTATATTTATTTAACAAAATTATTATATAAAAAAATACGCATTTGACGTAATTTTAAAATGGTCCACTTTTACTTATTTTCTCCTAATATGTGGATTTGCCTTCATAAATTGTATTTCCACTGGTAAGAGTAATAACATTCCGAAACAATTGAATTTTCCTAAAGCAAGAAGGGCCCTAAAATAAACTTTATCTTAATAATGCAATCCAATGGGAATTTTCATTCCTTCAGAAAACTTGTGTGAAATCTTGTCAAGTTGTTTTGAATGGTTGAACTCTTTTGGAGGTTTTATTAAAAATAATAGACGTACAATCGTTAAATGAACATTAAAAAAAAAAAATTTTTTGTTTTATTTTAGGGGTATTTATACTGTTCTTTAGTTAAAATAATTATTTTTGATAAAAAAAAAACAAAATCAGTCACCAACTCAAACATATTATGTAAATAAATTTAAAAAACTTTTGTAATTAAATTTGTTAAGGAATTTCATTAGAATATTCTTAACAAATAGAATTTTCAGAGTATTTTGGTTTGATAATTGATTGATGACTGAATTATTACAAAGAGTTAAATTCTAATGTATTATGTTCTTACTGCGGGATTAATATAATTAAAATTTTTTTTTAGTTCAGGCCTCGAACTGCCTTTGGCATTGAAAATTACGTACTTTACGTACCAAAAAAAAAAAGAAAAAAAATTAGTGACTAATTTACGTAGCAAAATTTGTAATTTTTTTTTATTAAAAGTGCCAACTCTAAATCACAAAATAGAATGATATAGTTTAAAAAATTACATGGATTTCAATCAACATATTTTTATTACTTTAGAAAATCTTAAAATTGAAATAATATTTTATATGTTCTTATGATAAAATTTTACTTCAGAACTATAAACTAGGAAGTTTTGAAATTCTTTAAGGGTTCATACCACTTTGTCAACTTCAAAGAAAAAAAAAATTAATTTTTTTTTACGGATTTTAAAAGCATAGGATATCTCAAAAATGTTGTGTAAAATTTTAGAAAGATCTCAGCACTTTAAATATATTATTTCTGGTGACATTTGAACGCGTACAAAGGCTATGTGCTTACATAGTTTAGTAATGTGCCGTTAAAACTTTCAATTGGAAACTTTCGTTTTGAAGGTTTCAAATCATGAAATTTATGATCGATGAAAATTTTCATGAAATTTATAAAATTTGTAAATATGGTATTTTGGTTATGTCAAGTTTCAATCATGTTTGAAAATTGATAGAATTTGTGCTTATTTTAAATTCTTAACCTGCACAAACTTGTTATTGTAAACATTTTACTATTCATTCATGTGATCCTTGAAATCTTATTTTTAAAATAATAAAATTTTAAAAAAATTTATGAAAATTAAAATTCAGGAAATAAATTTTTGTAAAAATAAATATTTTGAATTAAAACATTTAGAATAATATAGTATTTGTATTTTACAGTTAAAAGGAATAGTTGGAAACACAATTAAATAATTTGTAAATTATTAGTTTTAAAAAAATTAGAAGTTAAGTCTAAAATTTCAAAAATTTCAATTAATTTGAAACTTTTTATTGAAACTTTTAACTGAAAGATTTGAAAAGTATAAATTTTGGAAACGGCACATCAGTAACACAGTTACTAGTGGAATCAGTAAATTTTTATATTATCAGTAACTCAATTCACATTTTTTCATGTTGTGTATTCTATTGTTAAATTTAAATAATTAAACAATATTTTTTTTTATAAAAAGACGTTTTCTATGTAGTTAGAGAGTGTCTTTGTTAAAAAAAATTTTTTTTTTTAAAGAATACCTAGATATAAAAGACCTAGATCAATAAAATTTACATGGATCGTAAAAAAAAAAAATTCTACAAAAAGCTAAATTTTGAGGCATGTATAGTGCTATGAACCCTTTATTAACAAAATATGACTTCAGTTTTCAATCAATCACTGTTTCTGAAAATGATCACCGCCAGCGGATTGATGGGAAAGTGAATGTGAATAAGAATAGAGAAGGCATAACTAAATATTTATTCACAATCTGTATACATATTTTGAATTTTAGTCGAAATGGTCAAAATTACGTACTTTACGGACCTTTTGTCAAAATTACGTAACTTTTAGGTACCAAATTCAAATTACGTACTTTTCCTTAATTTATGTACTCAGTTCGAGGCCTGTTAGTTAATTAATAAAATATATATATATATATATATATATATACATACTCAAATTGTTTAATAAATTGAACTTTCGAAAATTTTTATTCTGAAAAATAAGATTGTTGTAATTTTAATTCTATTATTTCAAGATAATTAAACTTTCCTAACCAAATAATTGAAATTTTTTTACACTTTTGGAAAGTAGTTGGATTCTTTTAAGAAAATTGTTTGAATCTTTTGAAGATAATCAGGAAAGTTAGTGACCGTAATTATAATTTAAAATTTAAAGTCCCTCTTACAGTTTTTAATCAATTTTTGCTCTAAAAATATTATTGAACTTCTCTTGAACATGGTTGCCACAAAATCTGGATTTCAAAATTCCAAGTTAAAATTTGGGAATTATTTGAAAAAAAAACCATAGAAAATTTTAGTTTTCTTATAGAAGTCCTATTGGAAAAATGTTAAAAGAATTTGGAGATTGAATTTATCAGTTATTACATAAATTCAGTTGAATAAAATTGTTTAATTTTTTTAATGATAAGTAAGTGCTAAATTTTTACTATGAAAATGGTTAATACCATTATTAGAGAGTAGATTTTATAAAATTATCGAGACATCGGAGGTGTCACTTTCAGAAGAATCAGTCATGATTGGAACATTCAAGTCAATTCTAAATTAAATAATTTCATCTTTAAACGCTGTTTAAAAACTTAAAAAAAAAACAATTAATATCAAAAAAA